AGCCTCGGGCGAGACGGCAGTCTCGCTGAGGTGGCAGGGGCTCCTCGCCGAGATAGAGACAGGACCTCCTCCGCCACCCCCGACGACGACTTGACGACCACCCCCTCCTCCTCGAGGGCTCCGAGGAAAACACGAGCAATTTCGTCCTCCGTCTCGAAGCTGTCAGGGTCAAGATGCCCCTCACCAGGCCGAGGGGACTGCACAGGCTGCCCGGCTTTCGAATGCCCCGCTCCAGGCAACGGGGACTGGACAGGGAGCCTGGAAGAGCCGCTACTACGAGAGAGATTCGCGCTGCTCCGCGAAGTCCTGGCCAAAGTAGATTCCGATAAACCTGGTCCCGCGCAATGTGGGGAGGAGAGAGAGGCGCCCGCCGCAGCTCCAGCCGCAGGCGGGGGCGCCTTCACGCAGGCGTTGGCGGCCGATCGGCCGCTGCAGCTCGACCGCGACGCTGGCTCGTGCAGCACCTGCGCAGGCCGCGCAGCGGTGCGGTAAAGTGCCATCCCGGCTGCTACTCGGAGCAGCACCTGACCTGGGCGTTCGGCCTGCTCCCGAGAGGGGGGAGGCTCGGGAGGAGGCTCGACGGGAGGAGAGGTATCCAGCGCGCCTTCGGCCGTCAGGTCCACATACTGAAGGGTGATATCCTTCTCCTTAGGATGGAGACCCTTGACAATACGATGCCAGCAGTGTCTGCGCCCGCGCATGGAGTGGTCAGACAACTCCACGGCCTGTGAATCCAGAAGACGCGAGTAAAACACCAGGTCGACGGGGCAGCGGGGGAAACATCGGCAACAGCGTTGACGCTGATACTGCGTGCCGCCCTGGCCAGGCCCGAGGAGCCCCAGAAACAATCGCACCGCGTAGGTGGCGACGCCATGAAGCACGTCGGGTCGGACGGGGCCAGAATCTGCCCCCGGAGTTTGGCGCCGACCCCGAGGCCTTCCATGTCCTCTGGCTGCAAGTTGAAATCCCCTTCCAACGAGCCCTCCGCTGCCAGCAACGTGCAAGGAGCTGCTGATGGCGGCAAGGATGCTGACGTTGGTGTCCGACAGACCCTGAGAGGTGACCAAGTAGCAAGACAGAACCTTGGTTTCATAACCCCCTGGAGGGTGGACAACTCCAGCCACCACGCGATGAGGCCAGACCTGCGAGCCTTCAGGAAGAAAATGTAGCCCCAGGAAGTCCCTCGCCAGGATAGCGACGCCCCCGGAGGCAGAATAGCCTTTACCAGGAGCCGCTGGTTCCCAAATACTTTTGAAACCGCGAGCCGAGCACCGCTGCGAAGCCTTATCGACGGGCCCCCCTGCAATCAACTTGTGTTCTCGGATCAAAATGACGTGGGCGGTCGAGGTCATGATCCAGTCCCGCATCGAGCCCCAACTGTTCCAATTGACGGTCTGCACGTGAAGGGAAAACTGCCCCTGGGGGGGTCGGGGCGGGGTGTTAAACGCAAGACCAGAAAAATAGGCTGGCAGACCGTCACGGCTTGGCAGCACTGCTTGCTCGCTCGGCGTCTGGCTCGCAGCAGTCGGGGGGCGTCCACCCTCCGAACCGAAAAAAGAAAGACGCTGGATGCGGCGGCAGCAGCGTGCGATAGTCGAGCGAGCCGACGCCTGGCCCCCCCCCCAAAAAAAAAAAAAAAACACGCGAGGCGAGATCATCGAGCAACTTACTCAGTTGCTCAGAGGCGCTGTGTCTCCAGGCCGATTCCCGCACTCCCCCCCCCCCCCCCCCCGCGGCCGCGGAGGGGGGAGATGTATTGGACAACGCCCTCGAGGCTCGGGCACGGACGTCGGCCGCCTTGGGAGGGCCTCCAGCCTCGCCCTCAGCGGCTGGGACAAAAGGCGCGTCACTGCCAGCACTAGCAGCTCCTCCAGGCTGGCCTTCTCCACCTGCAGGAGCTCCACCACCGCCTCCTGGGGCCGTGCCAGGGCCCGACTCGGTGTCCGTCTTCCGCTTCTTGGCCGCCAGCCAAGCCATGCGCTGCTGATGCGCTGCGCGCGCGTCAGCAGCCTGCGAGACCAGAGGCCCCAGGAGCTCCGACGCGGCCTGCTTGATGGAGGCCCCCAGCTGCTGGCGTCGCTGATTGATCTCCGCCAGGTCGGCCTCCTCGAGGGCCGTCTCGAGCGAAGCGTCCGCCACCAGCTCGTCCACCACGATGAGGTCGCCGATGTTGATGGAGCCATCCGCCAACGCCGAGAGCTTGAGGGCCGTCGAAGCTGGCGGCGCACCACTTTCCACATGGCGGGAAGCCTGGAGCTCCTTGACGTCCTGCTGGTAGGCGTCGTCTGCCTTCTCCAACGACTCCTGGAGAGACGCGAGGTACACACGCTGGGCCTCCACATCTCGCTGCCACTGCTCCAGTTTGTCAAGCTCGCCAGCCATCTGCGCTTCCAAGCGAGATACCTCTGCGCAGCTCTGCTGGATCCTCTGGTGGATGGGGACCGCCGTGGGGTTGTCCCTCGCGTAGATCTGCTGAGCCAGCTGGTGGTAGTGCTCGGCGCCGACAGCGTCACCCGCCTTCCGCGAGAGACGCGAGCTGGCGAGCCTCTTCCAAGGATAGTTGTGGCTGGGCGCCCACCGCCAAGGGCTGCTTGCCACCAGCCCCTTTGCCAGGTCCGCCGACGACAGCGGTACTGTGGCCCTGGCCGCCCTTGCCGTTCCCCTGGCGAGGTACACCTGCCCCTTGAGCCCGAACAGGAACAGGAGCAGCAAACACGCCAGGAGGGATACCAGCCGCCCAAACTCCACCCACGGGAGGCGAGTCCGCCGCGTGGACCTTGGAGAGTGAGCCTCCGCAGTGCTTGCAGAACCTGGCCTTGAGGTCGTTTTTGGCGCAGCCACAGGTGACGCACTTGAGACCGCCACCTGCCCCGCCCTTGTCGACTCCACGACCAGCCTTCCACCCCTGCCACTGCTTGTTGTCGTCACGCCATGGCGGAGTCGAAGCACGGCCGCCATGATACATGTAGAATTTCGCTCCCTCAGGAGCTCACACAGACTGCAGTCCGAGCCACTGGCCCGCAACAGCAATGCCGCTCTGAAGTTGGCTCTTGCAAGTTCAGAAACAACTGAGCCAGAACGGCTTGAGCCAAAATGGCGACGGAGAAGAGGGGGAGGAGGAGGAGGAAGAGGAGGAGGAGGAGGAGGAGGAGGAAGAGGAGGAGGAGGAGGGTGATGATGATGATGATGATGATGATGATGATGATGTGATGAGGAGGAGGAGGAGGAGGAGGAGGAGGAGGAGGAGGGGGAGGAGGAGGGGGAGGAGGAGAGGTAGGAAGAGGAGGACAAGGAAAAGGAGGAGGAGGAGGACGAGGAGGACAAGGTGAAGGAGTAGGAAAAGGAGGAGGAGGCGGAGGAGGAGGAGGAGGAGGGGGAGGAGGGGGAGGGGGAGGAGGCGGCCCGAGCCGTCGAGAGTCGACGAGAGCCGCGTCGGGGAGCCAGGCGGAGGCACGCGTCGCGCAAGAACGGCACCGCCCCGACCCCCGGGGCACGCCGCCGACGCAGGCCCACGCCGCCTCGGGCCCGAGCGCCCGCGGCCCGCGGGCCCCGCGCGGAGCCCGCGCCCCGGGCCCACGACGTGGGCCATGCCGGATGCCTCGAGCCTCGTCTTGGGGCCCGAGGCGCAGGCGGGCAGGGAGAGCGGCTGCGCGCTTCGCCCTGGGCAGGCGCGCACGAAGGCAAGCGACGTCGGCGAGCTGAGCGCCGTGTTCTGCGCTTTTTGTCTTCCATGCGTGGTCACATATGTGCCTCTTCCTCGTATTATTCATCAGCTTCTGCATCGTATTTCATATTGCATCGAGTACGACCCGGAGTACGCGGCCGACGTTGCACGCAGACTTTCGAGAGCACGTCAGAATATCAGGCTAGCCCTGCACATTCGGCGCTTGGCTGATGAGCTTGGTCGATGCCTGGTGTGGCAGAAGGTGGAATCTCACACGGGACTGGTCCTTAACGACCGGGCCGGTGAACTCGCAGATTGCGGTGCGAGTGGACTCTTCAGTGGCCTGCCAGATGCACGGAGGTGGGCAAGCTTAGCAAGCGGATCATCAAGATCTGAGGTCAGGCAGCCCCTGACTGTATCCATCCACGCGTTGCGCCACCCGGGTGGGCCCTTCGGGCCACACTGCCTGCGGTGCAGCGTCCAACGAGCATCGTCGACGATGGGACCAGAGGCGGAGCGGAGAGATGCAGTGCACAATCGGGGTTGCCAATAAAAAATAAACAGGACGGGCTTCTCATCCCGGGGGGGTCGCTTGTCGACGGCCCTGGGGCCCAGCGAGGGCCCCCGGAGGCCACAAATGGCCGAAAACCTCTCGTGGGGCATCGCCGAAAATTGCCGAAACTGGCCGAGCATGATCGAAAATGGCAGAACATTGCCGAAAATAGTAGAACAATTGCCGAAAAGGCCCGAGGACGTCTGGGTCCCTTCCCTGGCGCTGCCCCCCTGGCTTTCGGGTCATGACTCGGCTCTGCGGCAGCCGCTCGATACGACCCTGGCACCCTCGGAAAGCTCTCGGCGAGGCGCAGCCACGGGGTTCGGAAAGCACCCTCGGAAAGCATCCCGGGGTTTGGAAATAGCCGAGGGCCGACGAAAACGTCCGAAAACAAAGCCGCCTCGCGGAGCGCCCACGCCGCCGGCCCCGCGCGGATGCCGCGCCCAAAGTCCCGAGCGGACCCGGCCTGGTCTCCGCTGTGGAGAGAGAGAGAGAGAGAGAGAGAGAGAGAGAGAGCGACGGCGCCGTGCCGATCGGAGGCTCGATCGGCCTCCTCCTCCTCCTCCTCCTCCTCATCCTCCTCCTCCTCCTCCTCCTCCTCTCCCTCCTCCTCCTCCCCCCTTTCTCCTCCTCCTCCTCCTCCTCCTCCTCCTCCTCCTCCCCTTTCTCCTCCTCCTCCTCCTCTTCCTCCTCCTCCTCCTCGTCCTCCTCCTCCTCCTCCTCCTCCCCCTCCTCCTCCTCCCCTTTCTTCTCCTCCGCCTGATCATTCTCTAAGGCAGGGGCACCGCTGGCCCCTGGGACGTCTCCTGGGCGGCCGCCAACGCCGCGGCCGCCGCGGCGTCGGGCATGCCTGGGGGAGGGGGGGGCCAGGGGGAAGGAAGGCCAGGGGGCGGGATGGGAAAAGAGTGGGGCAAAGGGGAAGGCATTCGAATTCCACAATAACCCTCGAGTTTTCGAATGTTTTCGTCGTCGTCGTCGTCGTCGTCGTCGTCGTCGCCGCCGTCGTCGTCGTCGTCGTCGTCGTCGTCGTCGTTTCCCTTCAGTGTCGGCGGCACCGGCCGTAAGGCCTGCGCAGTAATGGGAGAAGGGGGATAGGACCACAATAGAAGCTCGACCACAAGAGAACTGTTCACAAGAAACCCAACCCTGATACCCCAAAACGTCCATTGATTTCTGATGTGGGGACGCCACATTTTCCGTCGTAGAGCCATCGAAACCCAAGAAACCTAAGACACACCGGAGGCAATTGTCAAAACACACGTCTCGTACAGAGCCACCTGATTATCTGTTGACATTTCTTGAATACTCTTCTTGCAGAGGAACGTGCCCGACTTAAGATTCGACTCGGGCCTCGGGCAAGGACCGCGCCCCTGGTCCAATCGGCGGGCTGGCCCAGAGTGACACACACCTCGGCGGCGAGCGGTCATCGGCAGTATTCGGCGGTCTTCTGACGGTCTTCGGCGGTTTCTGGCCGTCCGGGGCAGGTCTTCGGACGGTCGTCGGACGGTCCTCGGCGCGAAAGCTGGATGGTTGCGATCAATACGGGGTCCCAGCTGCCACTGCCCATGCCCGTTCATTTCGCACGTGCTGATCAAGGTGCTGTAGCAGATGATGGTGGGCTCCAGCTTCACTCCTAGCACCTCTCAAAGCAGCGCCAAGGCCGACTGCCGCTGCCCGCCCTCCTCGCACGCGCTGATCGGGGCGCTGTGGCAGGCGATGGCGGGCTCCAGCTTTAAAGCCAGCATCTCGCTGAGCAGCGCCAGGGCCAGCTGCCGCTGCCCCTGACCGTTCGTCTCGCACGCTCTGACCGAGGTTATGTAACAGATGATGGTGGGCACCGGCTTCACTCCCAGCAACTCGCTTAGCAGCGCCAGGGCCGGCTGCCACTGCCCCCGCCCGTCCTCCTCGCACGCGCTGATCGGGGTGCTGTAGCATATGATGGCGGGCTCCAGCTTTTCGCCCGGCATCTCGCTGAGCAGCGTCAAGGCCAGCTGCCGCTGCCCCTGCCCTTTCGTCTCGCACTTGCTGATCGGGGCGCTGTAGCAGATGATGGCTGAGCAGCGCCAGGGCCAGCTGCCGCTGCCCCAGCCAATTCGTCTCGCGCGCGATGATTGGGGTGCTGTAGCAGAAGGTGGCAGGCCCCAGCCTCACTCCCAGCATCTCGCTGAGCAGCACCAGGGCCAGCTGCCACCGCCCCCGCCTGGCCTTCTCGCACGCGCTGATCGGGGCGCTGCAGCAGATGATGGCGGGCTCCAGCTTTTCGCCCGGCATCTCGCTGAGCAGCGCCACGGCCAGCTGCCGCTGTTCCTGGCCGTCCGTCTCGCACGCGCTGATCGCGCTGATGTGGCATATGCTGTCGGGCTCCAGCTCCGCGCCCATCATCGTGCTGAGCCTCGGCCGTGCCAGCTGCCGCTGCCCGTGGCCGTTCGTCTCGCACGTGCTGATCGTGATGATGTAGCAAATGTTGGCGGGCTCCAGCTTCGCTCTCAGCGCCTTGCTGAGCAGCGCCAGGGCTGGCCCCCGCCGCCCCAGCCCGCACTCCTCGCTCGCGCTGATCGGGGCGCTGCAGCAGATGATGGCGGGCTGCAGCTGCGAGCCCAGAATGTCGCTGAGCTGCGCTGGTGCCAGCTGCCGCTGCTCCTGGCCGTCCGTCTCGCACGCGCTGATCGGGGCGCTGCAGCAGACGATGGCGGGCTCCAGCATCACATTCAGCATCTCGCTGAGCAGCCCCAGGGCCAGCTGCCGCTGCCCCTGCTTGACCTCATCGCGCGCGCTGGTCGGGATGCCGTGGCAGATGACGGCGGGCTCCAGCTTCGCTCTCAGCGCTTCGCCGAGCAGCGCCAGGGCCGGCTGCCGCTGCCCCTGCCCGCCTCCTCGCACGCGCTGGTCGGGATGCCGTGGCAGATGATGGCGGGCCCCAGCTTCGCACCCAGCATCTCGCCGAGCAGCGCCAGGGCCAGCTGCCGCCGCCCCTGTCCGTTCGTCTCGCACGTGCTGGTCGGAGCGCTCTAGCAGATGATGGTGGGCTCCAGCCTCGCTCTCAGCGCCTCGCTCTCAGCGCCTCGGAGAGCAGCGCCAGGGCTGGCTGCCGCTGCCCCTTCCCGCCCTCCTCGCGCGCGCTGATCGGGGTGCCGTAGCAGATGGCGGCGGGCTGCAGCTGCGCGCCCAGAATGTCGCTGAGCTGCGCAGCTGCCGCTGCCCCTGGCCGTTCGTCTCGCACGCGCTGATCGGGGTGCTGCGGCAGAAGATGGCGAGCTCCAGCCTCGCTGTCAGCACCTCGCTTAGCAGCGCCAGGGCCGTCCACCGCTGCCCCTCCCCGCCCTCCTCGCACGCGCAGATGGGGATGCTGTAGCAGATGATGGTAAGCTCCAGCTTCGCGCTGGCATCTGGCCGAGCAGCGCCAGGGAAAGCCTCCGCTGCCCCTGGCCGGGCGTCTCGCGCGTGCTGAGCGGGGCGCCGTAGAAGATGATGGTTGACTCCAGCTTCACTCCCACCATCTCGCTGATCAGCGGCAGGGCCAGCTGCCGCTGCATCTGCCCGTCCTGCTCGCACGCGCTGATCGGGATGCCGTAGCCGATGATGGTGGGCTCCAGCTTCACGCACAACATCTCGCCGAGCAGCGCCAGGGCCAGCTGCCGCTGCCCCTGCCCATTCGTCTCGGACGTTCTGATCGGGGTGCTGCAGCAGATGATGGTGAGCCCCAGCTTCGCACCATCATCTCGAAGAACAGCGCCAGGGCCAGTTGCCACTGCCCCTGCCCGTTCATTTCGCACGTGCTGATCAAGGTGCTGTAGCAGATGATGGTGGGCTCCAGCTTCACTCCTAGCACCTCTCAAAGCAGCGCCAAGGCCGACTGCCGCTGCCCGCCCTCCTCGCACGCGCTGATCGGGGCGCTGTGGCAGGCGATGGCGGGCTCCAGCTTTAAAGCCAGCATCTCGCTGAGCAGCGCCAGGGCCAGCTGCCGCTGCCCCTGACCGTTCGTCTCGCACGCTCTGACCGAGGTTATGTAACAGATGATGGTGGGCACCGGCTTCACTCCCAGCATCATCATCATGCTGGTCGGCATCATCATCCCTCTCGCACGCGCTGATCGGGATGCTGTAGCAGATGATGGCGGGCCCCAGCTTCACGCTTGCATGTCGCTGAGCAACGCCAGGGCCAGCTGCCGCTGCCCTTGCCCGTTCGTCTCGCACGTGCTGAGCAGGGCGCTGTAGCAGATGATGGTGGACTCCAGTTTCACTCCCGGCATCTCGCCGAGCAGCGCCAGGGCCAGCTGCCGCTGCCCCTGCCCGCCCTCCTCGCACGCGCTGATCGGGACGCTGTAGCAGATGATGGTAGGTTCCAGCTTCACACCCAGCATCCTCGCTGAAGTGCGCCAGGGTCAGCTGCCACTTCACCTGCCCGTTCGGGTCGCACGTGCTGATCGGGGTGCTGTAGCAGATGACGGTGGGCTCCAGCTTCACTTCACTCCCAAAATCTCGCCGATCAGCGGCAGGGCCAACTGCCGTTGCCCCTGCCTTGTCCAAGGGGCAGGCAGAGCCGGCCAGCGCCAGGGCAAGCGGCCCGCCCGGCACCGTCACCGCCGCGGCGGCGGTGGCCACCGCGCGGGAGAGGGCGGCCGCCGCAGCGGCGGCAGCTTCGGCGGCAGCGCCCGCGGCACCCGTGGCGCCGGCACTGCCCGCAGCGGCGCCCGCGCGGCCCCCGGCGCGCGCGGCGCCAGCGGCGCCGGCGACGGCCGCGGCGCGCACAACGGCGTCAGCGGCGCCGGCGGCGGCCGCGGCGCGCACAGCGCCGGCAGCAGCGGCGTCCGAGCCCGGGGCGGCCGCAAAGCAGGCGGCGCCAGCGGCGGCCACGGCACTGGCGGGCGCCCGCGGCGACGGCAGCGTCCACAGCGCCTGCGGCGCCGGCGACGCCCTCGGCGCCGGAAACCCGCACGGAAGCCCGCGGCGCCCGCAGCGCCAGCGGCGGCCGAGGCGCCCGCGGCGCCGTCGGAGAGAACCGCGCGGGCCCAGGCGAGCCACCGCTGCCGCCGCCCCCGCGCCGCCGGAATCTCCATGCGGGCCCAGCGGCAGCGCGGCCTGGCCGCGCCACCCGGGCCACGCTGGCCAACCTTGAGCCCCAACCCCAGGGGAAGGAACGCCCCAGGAACGCTCTATCCCCAACGGAAGCCTACCTGAATTCTGGACGCCTGGTCACCGGGCAGGCCTGGACCGCTACTCCTCTCTGCTCAGCTGCCCCGATACGCAACACGCAACACGCAACACGTAGCGCATTGAGGCGGAACTCAACACGTAGACAGATAACGCAGGTCTGACACGATACGGTCGCCGAAACGCGGGCCAACACGTTGAGCCAACAGGTAACGTATTGACGCAGACGTTTTGAGCAAGGTACGAGTTGCGTTTCAAAAACGGCGTATCGAGACAGCTAAGCCTCTCCGCTCCTCCACTCCTCCCTGACTCCCATCTGTGGTGATCAAGGCAGGGTAAGGGAGGGGAGGAGGAGGAGGAGGAGGAGGAGGAGGAGGAGGAGGATCGCAGTGTAGCGCTAATGCCCTTGACGGTATCGAGGAGGAGGAGGAGAAGAGGAGGGAGGCGGAGGAGGAGAAGGAGGAGGAGGAACATGAGCCGGAGCCGTCCTCCTCTCCTCCGTTTCGCCCTTCTCGTCCTCATCCTACTGCTTACCCTCCTCCTCCTCTTCCTCCTCCTCTTCCTCCTCCTCTTCCTTCTCCTCCCCGTCCTACTGGTCAGCGTTTCCTTTTCACCTCCTCCTTCCCCTCGCCCCCTCCCCTTCACCTCCAGCCTTACCCTCGT